AGACCAGATGCTGTTTCATTACATGTTCTGTTTTTAACTGTCATTATTCCTTTTAAACATGCCAGTGTAAATTATACTGTGAGGGAAGATTAACTCGTAGATCTCCTAATAAAAGTTTTTTGTTTTTTCTTTTTTTTTTTTCCCTAAAAGGGCAATGGAGGACCTTCTGTAATTTAAGTGCAAATTGAAGATAATAGTATTGTGAAATTTTAGTTTAAATTAGTTGGATTGAGGTCAAGCTTTCTTTTTAACAGGCATATTTTTGCAATAAAATGGTATTTCACAATATTATCAAGTATTTTGGACACTCAAAACACCCATACATGGCAATAACCAGCTTCTTAACAAAAAGGAGAAGGTAGCTATGTCAAGAAGTCCAGCACCTTGTCAAGTTAGTGTTGTTATATTTCTTTTACCCTATAGCTGATCAGAATTAAAATGCATGTATTTCCCCTATTGAGGGTACTGGATGTCTGAGTTTGTTTTGGAAGGTCATTGTGTGGGTTCTTGATGCAGTTCAGTGAAGGAAGGACCAAGCAGGGTGAATAAATCCATGCCCTTGGGCTGGATCAGTCTTCCTCTCGCCAACTGCCATCTTTCTGCTTTGTCTTTTGGCCTCTTGGCTTTTTGGAAATTTACCTTTTGTTGCCTCTCCTACCTGATTTCTGCTTTTGGAACGTACAGATCTTACAAAATAATATGTAAGGTTATTTAAAAAAAAAAAAGTGACAGGGCTTCTGATGGTCTTGTTACCCTTGTGAGTCTACCCTGTGGCTTAAATGGTAGATTTCTTGCAGTTCTCCAAGTCGGTAGCAGTAGCAGTGATCTGCCCACTCATCTTTTTTTTTTTTTTTTTTTTAATCTTCTGTGGTGATAAAATTCAATGCTGCTTTTTTATTGGCGCTTGTTGACATTAATAAAGAGTTCCCACATTTTGTTTCACATATGTACACCCCTGCCAGTCAGGCATAATACTTGCCTGAGACTGATGGTTTTCCTCGACACCTGAGAATCTGGAGATCAGCTGAAACCTCCTTGTGTTGTATGGCCTTGGCTAGGTCTTCCTGCTGCTGCGTCTTGCAGATAGAATGGCAAGTATAATTTTTTTAACCGTTTATCCATCTTTTGCAGATAGTAATGAAGAACGGAATAATGCGTGCATAGGTATGGAGAAAGGAGAAGCAGGCATGTTCAAATCATGCTATACAAACACATCATCAGACTATACAAATGTATAGTTCTGGAATTAATTGTCAGGAAAAAAGTGTTTTGGAACAGAGCTATGGAATATAAATGGTACTTGGGATTATGAAGAGGAATGCAGGGTAACATAGGTCTGATATGCAGTTACATGTAATTAATACCTGGTAAAAACTGTTTCATGGAATCAGGCTTGTCTTTCTTGATCCGATATCCAAGTTTTTATATGGTAAAATGTGGATTTTACTTGTTAGCTATGATGTAATGTTGCTGTGATATGGAGACTATCGGTTTAATTATAGGCTGACTGATGAGTTCTGTTTAGAGAAGGAAAAAAAAAAAGGTGGTAATCCAAAGCATCAGATGTATAAGTGCAAGTTAGTTGATAACTTTACTGGGCAGGGAGTAATGGTGAAACATGCAATGATAAAATTTAAATCAGCACTTGCAAGTTTTCATGCATGAAATAATTGTGAATCTTTATTACTGTTCCACAAGTGATGAACAAAAAACGTTAAGTTACAGAAACATCACGTAGGAAATCTGTATTTTATGCCTTGAAGAAATAGGTTTGTGTGGAAGGGAACTCTTTGGTTTGTTGGCTTCTCATTATGGTCAGTTCTTTCCTGTCATGGTTGGGTTGTATGGCAATTTCTTCTCCTTTTCCACTGTTTCCCAAATCAACAATAGTGCAAAGCAAAACCATGAGAATTGGTAGTTTACTGTCAGGACAAGTTAGCGAAGGATTCTTCTTACGCTAAAGGCTATTGCAGGTTTCTGGAGGCGTTTTGATTCCTGCAGGTTTGTGGCTCTACAGACTTTCCAGGGGCTGTTCTGGGACCTGGAATGAGGCAGTCACAGGGGGTGGTTGTATGGTCGACTCTGCCTTCTACAGCAGGCAAGGAGCCCAAGGCACTGCTTGTCAGCTCAGTTTGGGCACTTGTTTCCACACTGTTGTGATCACCATACCTTCTATTGCTCACTGTAAGGGAAAATCTTCGTTCCCATAGGAAGGCAGGAAAACATCTAGACCAAGTTGTGGTCCCTTTTGAGTGCCTTAATCGTAAGGCTGCTAGAGCAGGTGTCATACGCCGCGTTCCTGAATTGAAATTGCTGCTGCTTTGTCTGCATCTCAAGTTATTTTCAGCTGGGCATGCTACAGAAAGATCTTCCTGACTCCTCTGGTCTGAGACTTGCATTTTCACGTGTTCCTGGTTTCCAGATTGTTGTCTTGCTGGAGGCAAGAAAACAGGGCAGTGACTGCTCAGGCCAGGTATCTCTACCCTGGGTGAATCCTGTGTTCCTGCCCATTTAAGTGGAGGGACACCTTTGAATCGGGAAGTCATTGAACTCAATTGCTGTCGGTATACAGGAAAAATATATTCTTCTGCAAGTGTCTCCTATTCTTTACTAAGTATCATCTATTGGTCTCTGCTGTAGTAAAAGGATACTGCCATAGCTGAATCTTTGGCCTGACCTGGTGCAGCCTTTTTATATGCTGATGTGGTAGTTTCTAAGCAATGCAGTAAATAATATGTATTCCAGCTGCATTGAATTACTTAAAAAGGAGGAATGTTTTTGGAGAAGAGGACTGTGACAGCTTGAGACATGCATTTTTTTTTTTCTCTTCACCTGGACTCTCAAAGCACAGTTCATACTTTGCCATCCTCTCTGTCCTCATCTTTCCCTTTCTTGGCTTGGAGCCTTTGTTTGGTCTGAGACTGTGACGATGTTTGACAAATGCTTGCCTGCTACTTCAACATAAACAACTCTTTCTGTGCTCAGGATGAAGTGGTAACTAGAAGGTGCTGTTCATTTTCATACCATTTCATAGGGCTTCAAGTCATTGTTACCTGTTAATTGAAATTGTAATGTTTAAAATGCTTAGTTTGCTTTTCCCAAGCATATTTAGTAATCCTTGGGTTTCCTTCTAAGGTAAGAAATGCTGATATGATCATGGAGGAAAAAAGAAAAATACTTTCAAGCAGTATTTGCTTTCTTAAACCTTTTACTAGGTAAACCAGAATTGACAAGCATTGGGTTGCGGGAAAATGTTTTGTGTGCTGCTTTGTGGTCAGGCCTCACTAATACAAGACACTTGTTTCAACTGGTGTACAGCCCCATCCAATATAGACATAAACCTGGGATTTCAAGTTTTGATCAAATTGGACTTCTTCAGATCATGCAATAGGAGCCTAATGACCATAATGTCTTCTCTTGCAGCTGGAATACCAAAAGGTTAACCCAAGTCTTCAGAGCATCTTAATCTGAGCCTTTGGTTTTCCGTCTCCTTCCAGTGAGTGGGAGGCAGCTCAAGACTGTAATATACCAATATACTTATTCTTTTCCAAGCGTTTTCATATAAATACACATCCTGCTGGTACACACAAGCTTCTATTTGTAGCTGAAATATAAAGCGATGTGTTAAATAAAAATGGAGAAGGCTTCCAAATTCATTGCTAATATGTCTTTTTGTAATATTGAGCAAAAGTAATATATTTAGTGGGGAATAAAGATAAAACACAAAATACAAGTTTGCATTGAGATTCTTATTAGTTAGACACTGGAAAATCTTGCTTACAGCTGACGGTTTCTTAAGTTAGTGAGGATACCATCTGGGGTAGGAAATTGCTTCCAACTTCTTTATTCTCTGGATCAAAAGATAAAATGAAATAACCTTCTCCTTTTCCTGACTGGTGTATCAGAGGGGAAGCAATGGCTTGCAAAACCTGTGCTTGCTTATGGACAATGTGGTCAGGTGTAACTTTTCATCTGTTATTTCCTATAACATTAGGAATTGATTATAACACCGGGACTTCTTCAGTGCTGTTTAATTACTGTGGAGCTGCATCTGATCTGCTTGGTAGGAGCATTCTGTGCATGCAACGTGCAATCATTCATCTGGTTTGCATGGTTTTGGAGAGGATTAAATCAGGATTCGGAGTAACGCTGCTTGGATTTGTAATGGAAATGTCATTATCTGTTTGCTTTCAGTTGACTAGACCTTTACAGAAGGAAGAAAATTATAAATGTTTTTGGAGGTAGAAAAATGGAGCCTTATTTTTCTCTTTTTTTTTTTTTTTTTTTTTTTTGGTGTGGAATTGTCAGTGAGCTTGGACCTGGGTGCAGCCCGAAGGACTTCATTTCTGTTGGGAGCAATGATGAACTTAACTTGCCAGTTTTCCAGAAATTAACCCCCTCCTGCCCCCAGTAGTTTTTATTTAATTTTACAGTAAATGGCTCTGTGGTTATTTCTGTCTAGATTGTGCTACTGAAAAATAGCATGTTTCTAGAATAAACAGATATTCTCCCTTACCTGGGCAGGGATGTTACCACTGCCGCTGGTAGTTGCAGTTGTTGACATTAAGTATGATGTGCAGTAAAAAATAGCATGTTTTTAGAACAGGCAAATATTCTCGTTTACCTGGGTGGAGAAGTTATTGCTGATGGTGGCAACTGCAGTTGCTGACATTTAGTGTGATGAGCAGTCCAAGGCTTTTCTTGTAGAGAAGAAGTGTATCATGGTGGATGGGAAGCAGTTTAACCATGTACAGACTGGAAGAGTTTTCACAACCCTGAAGAACTGGAGTTATTTTGAGCTTGCTAATGCCAGTGGAGATGACAGAGCTAGACTTGCTACAGAGAGCGCGTCCATTCTGTAGAATGGTAATTCCTGGTATTCTTGAGTCTTTGTATGATTTATCCAAACCCCTAGTGTTTTTCATGTTGGACTGTCAGTCTTGTAAGATTGAGTGTGACTTTTGGTCTCATTTACCCAAAGCCTTAGCATGAAATTCTGTGCAGCAGACCATTAAATGTCATTGTACTGATTTTCTGAATGTTGTCCACTTTTACAGATGCCTTTGTAAATAGCCAGGAATGGACACTAAGCCGATCTGTACCAGAACTGAAAGTGGTAAGTTTATATTTACTTCCATCTCTGAAAAACATCCTGAAAATGTTATGCACAAGTGAAAATCTTCTAAGCTTCATTAAATCTACTGTTGGGGAAAAAATATAGAAAGCAATTTTAAAAAGTAAAACATAAACTTCATACAGATAGTTCTGTTGAAGAAAAATGCATCTTCTATTTTTATAATCATGTTTCAAAGATCTATTTGTATTTTATTGCTGTTTCGACTTGTTTGGCTACATGAACCAGCTTCCTAGGGTGGTTTTCTCAATAGGGAAGTCTTACACTTCTGTAAGAGGGGGAAGTGGAAGTTAGCAGGTGATATGTAAAGCTTCTTTCATCTCACTGTAATGATTTTTCACAGTGTCACCAAGGACCAAACGTCTTTTTTCCCTCTCTTAAAAGAATTTAACTGAATTTATACTGAATAAAAAAAAGAATATTTTGAAGGTTCATATGGTGAGTCAAAAACTCTATTTTACTGTAAGAATGAACAGTGATTTAATAGCTGCTTACAATAACTTTTCCCTTGGCTGAGCCCTTTTCCATATAGGTGGAAGAAAAGGCAAAAATCCCCCAATCCGTCTCTGTTAATTTCCCAGATTTGCTCTTTGAAGTGTTATGAACGTGGAGGCTGGAGATGAGGGGTGAAACCTCCTTGTAGTTAGATGTGAAACAGGCAGCTTGTCAAGCCGGCAGCACAGAGTTGTTGAGGCCAGATCGCTGTGATATTTACCACATGGAAGTCCAGATTTGATTAAACACAATCAATTTCTCAAACCCTACAGAATGACTGTGGTACCCAAGATACAGAACTTGGTAATACCTTTGCTAGGCGTCTGTGCTCAGCTCCTGTTGTCCAGCTGTAACTGAACAAGCTGCTCCGATCCAAACACCCGTTTGCTGAGTGGCAAAGTGAATCAGGCAAAAGCATCTGTATTTAAGAATGGGCGTCTGGGGCCATGCTTCGCTAGCCCACTTCTCATGTGGTAAATGTCTTTTTCCGAATCTGAGTTGATAATAATGTTTATGGAGGTGAGAGAAAGCATAGGTCAAACTTAGCGTGACAGATGCACTTATGCAAAATGGCATTTTGATTGAAGCAGCTTCCTCATGACTACAGTTATGTTTCTGTTTTGATTTCAGCAGTGCACAAGGTAAGTAGAAGAGAAATATGGTAGTCAGTGGATGTAACTATATAATGCAAGAAGGGCCTGCAGAGGGTCACCAGATTAAGTTTAACTGATGGTGTAATTTGGAAGACAAATATCTCCCAAAATACCTTGCAGAATAAAATACTAAGAATTTAGGACTGGAAGGTGTTGGTTGGATATGAGTCCAGTCCACTGTGGTATTAGCTAGCTTATGCTGGGGAGGATCTACAGAGGGTTTTCTTGTTCATCCCTTCCCCTTCTCTTAGTCCTACTAATTCACAATGCCCACCAATAAACTTAGGGCTTGCAGGTGAGACCAAAGCTGCAATTATTATGTGTTGTAATACAGAACACAATTGCCGAGCATTAAGTAATGGTCTTGGGGTACAGGCATTTCTGTGATACCACAGCTGTGGTATACCATTACATATCAATATATCATTATGTGAATACTCACCTCGGGTATCTTGCCCCCATGTTGTCTGAACCAGTGGTAGGAAAATAAACTTCTGCTTTGCGGCTGCTGTAGAGAATTGATTTTAAGTGGTCAGCATGCATGAGCCGTCCAAGGCTTCAGTTTGTATAATCCTGGATAAAAGCAGAGCTCTTACCATTACAAAAATAATAATTTGATTATACTACTGCAAATTATTGAAGCTGGCAGCACCAGCTGTGGCTGTGAACTTGTGCTCCAGCAAGAAGGGCAAATTAGGAGCTCCATCTGAAATCTGCTCTGCCTTTCCTATACATCTGCCCTTGGGAAGGAGTTGGTGCTGTGAGTCATCTGTGTCGGTCCCCTGATTCCAGCCTCATTGTCGGCTCTCGCTTATGGCTGAGGAAGGAAAGGGCCATGTTAAAAGCCAAACCTGCCTGTTCTGCCACAGTGCTATCATTACATTCACCATGGAGGATAACTGGGTGCGTTGCTTTAGCTTGCGGCTGTGTTGGGGATGTCGGAAGCATGAGAAGTGTGGAGTATTTGCTCCTGTTGCTGTGCAGTGCAGCAGTGCAGATGGGGAGATGAGGCTTAATGTTGCAAGGTTATGAAGGATCCCCAGCTTTAGCTGCTTGAGCAGGCTGTACTCGGCAGGAGAAGATGGTTAGTAGCTCACTGGGAGAGATTGTCTTCCCTGTAGAAGCTGGGAGGACCTTAAGTTGAGGTTGTTGTTTCGTTTTTGTTTTTTTTTTTTCTTTTTTATAGTGGCTGTTGTTATATCCTTAGTCTCTACAGAAGTTTAAGGGGAGTAGAAATGGACTCTGGGAGAGCAGAGAAAGCACAGAGTTGCAGTAAAGAAAAGCCTTGTTAGATCCTTAGTCTCTACAGAAGTTTAAGGGGAGTAGAAATGGACTCTGGGAGAGCAGAGAAAGCACAGAGTTGCAGTAAAGAAAAGCCAATGGATGGATTTTTCAACATACTTTTGAGGAAAGAATACCAGCCTTTCTCTCTGCCTCCTTTTTTAGCAATACACGTTGGGCTTGATTTCTTTCCAGTTTTCAGAAGGATATTTGTTTCTGCTCATCAAATACTACCACAGAGTTTTACTTATGGATGATGATGCTTCTGTTATAGTCAAGAGTGTGCTAGGCCAGCTGGGCGAGACCAGTCCCTTTCCCGAGCGATGGTGGTATTCCTGGATCCTGTTTATCCAAATATAAAATAAGGATGTGTTAGGCAGAATAAATGAGAGATCTTTTTGGACAAAATAACTTAATTCGTTCCAAAAAAATATGCAAAACGCCGTCAGGCTTCTGTGCTGGATAGCTTTAAAGTGCCAAATGCCATCAATACATTTCTGCATTTTTACAAACAAGCTTTAGTAGGATGTGGGCATAGTGGTTTGGATTTATTTTACAGCATGTCTGGCACATGCAAATAAATGATTCATTGTTGCACAAGTCATAACTGACAGAGCATTGTGTTGTAGCCTTGTTAGCTGAATTTTCTCATTTCTGAACTGGGTTAGGGTTGTATTGTTGTTCTGTAACATGCTTGTCATAACTTTGTGCATTTCATATGTATCCATAAATAAACAGAAATTACTCAGATTGTTTGTATAAAAATATGGGAGACAGGAATATGACTACTGTAAAAACATGCTGGCATATTTGCCATACTGTGGGGGATCATCCTTAAAACAAGAATTAATCCTGATTAAGAGAGAAATTGTATTAGAAGTCAGATTTTTCCAGTGTAAAGTTTATTGCTCCTAGTTTTCAGAGGTTAATAGTGTGCAGAGACCTGGAGCAGTAATGCCAGGCACTGCACTGAACAACAGAAGGCCGAATTCTGCTAGATTTTAATTTCATGTACTGGTTTCGTATCTGGTAGAAAAGAGATGGCTGCCTTGTCTCTTCAAATGCAGGCACTGAGGTGAGATCTTAAGGAATCCTCTCTCTTACCAGATGAGAAGAGGAGGAGGAGGTAGATGTCTCCTGAATGCTTTCTGAAGTAGTTGTGTAGGGGAAAAATAAAGCTGTGCTGCAAATGCAGATTTTATAGTCAGGTTTGAGGAAACTTGCTTTGGGTTCATGTGATTTTTGAGAAGTTAGTTTTGTGTTGGAGTACTAAAGTTAACTGTGTTAATGCTTTTTTCATGTTGACTTTTTTCACCATTTAAGCTCCTAAAGAACTTTTGTCAGTTTGGTGGGTAGTTTGAAACTGTTATAAATTATAAATCCAGGAACTTCTCTATTAAGAAACAATTAAATATTCTGATCAAGACAATCAGTCCTGCATTATCTTTTAAAACACCAACATTTTTTGCCCCTCATCTTCAGACAACGTATGGAAATGAATAAAAGGAGAAAGAGGGAGGAAATACACTGCCTTTCTTTGAGGATTGTGCATGGTTTTTAATAATATATCTTAAGGGAAGAAGGCTCTAGTTTTTACTATATGAGTTAGTGAAGTGGTTTCTTAATTGAAATACACACCTTGCTCCTCCTGATCACTGCTTTCTGCATCAGTTTGTAGCATCACGTTCAATAATGCTCTTCTGGCCAGGCACCTTTGTCTTTCTGGGTGCCTATAAGGAGGAACATACCGGAGACCTGAAGTGCTGTAAAATTACATATGCTGGTATGGTCTCTGGGATACTTGGGGGAAAAAAATAAATTGTATTATCACATCACTTGATATCTTTCAAGTATTTGGGGTCTCTGACTAAATACAGTAAGATGTCCCAGCCATGGGCAAAGGACATAGCATGTTCGCTCTCACCGGAGCCCAAGCTGATGCTTTTCTGTTGTTCCTGGCAGTTTTGCCCTCTGACTGGTTACATTTTTGGCACGGGTATAATATAAAATAGCATTACTTTGCATACGTACAGGACTAGTCGCTTGTAAGTGAAGGTTTCAATATCTGCTGTGAAGGTGTTTGCGTGACTGATTATATTTCCTGATCTAATGGACTTTTTTTGGTGGATGTGCTGGTGCTACACTGGTTTGCTACGAGGTAGGTCAGAAACAGCCTCACTATGTTGTTTCCAAAGGTCTAGAGCTACTGCTTTTAAAGTGAAAACATAAAACGCTCTTCTCTGTCAGTATTTTCCTAGCAAACCCATGTGAAGCTTGCTTGCTTTCTGATTCTTCAGAAATTGTGGTGCTCAGAAAGGGCCTTAGCCTGGCTATTTATCTGCAGAGGTACATCTAATCTACTGATTTACAGATGGGATTTTTGCTTTGCTTGCCGTTTTTGGCCCAGACTGTCATAATATAGAGCTAGTGGGGAAGAAGGAGAGGGGGACGCTTGCCTTGGGAATGTGGTATTCAGCTTCTGCTCTGGGGTGAAGCTGCTGTTGTAGTGAATATAGCCTACTGATGAGCTACGTGCAGAAGAAAACAGGCAAC